GGAAAAACAAATCATAGGTGTTTTAATGATAGCTATCCACCAAACAGTTAAGCACAGTTAGATGTCTGCTTCTGTAACGGGACCTACAGCCTGACATTCCCATCATGTATAGGGAATATTTCGTGCCTCAGATGGGCTCCACTAAAATCTGCCCATGGGGCGGAGAACTGCCAAATGGCAGTCAGTGGGAAAAATCTGAAGAAAGTCTGCATTAAAAACTCAATCTTCCCGGGGTTTAGCCATGCCAGTAATGCAGACAAGCCATGGGATTCACAACCTGCTTCTAATGGCTGGAATCCAACCTCGGGGGTTTTTTTAAAGAATAAAGCAGGGATCCCTCATTTTAAAACACGCAGGTGCTAAAGGCACTGCTGTGACCTCTGCCATGTTAGCTCGGTGGTTACAGTACTCATCAGATGCAGGGGATGCAGGTTGGCCTCGATGCTTTTCCTGCCTTCCACCAGCTATGCAGAGACTGCTGGGCTACTGAGCTGGTTGAACCCATCCTGTGGATGGTGTCTGGAGAGGGAGGTGTAGCCAAGTGCTTGATCCAACCCCTGGTATCAATACAGGCTGGGGGATGGAGGGATTGAAAGCATCCCTGCCGAGAAGGACTTGGGGGTACTGGTGGGTGAAAAGCTGGACATGAGCCAGCAATGTGCGCTCGCAGCCCAGAAGGTCAATCGTATCCTGGGCTGCATCAAAAGAAACGTGGCCAGCAGGTCGAGGGAGGGGATTCTGCCCCTCTACTCTGCTCTGGTGAGGCCCCACCTGGAGTACTGCGTCCAGCTCTGGAGCCCTCAGCATAAGAAAGACACGGACCTGTTGGAGCGGGTCCAGAGGAGGGCCACAAAAATGATCAGGGGGATGGAACACCTCTCCTATGAAGAAAGGCTGAGGGAGTTGGGGTTGTTCAGCCTAGAGAAGAGAAGGCTTCGGGGAGACCTTATTGCAGCCTATCAGGACTTAAAGGGGGCTTATAAAAAAGATGGCGGCAGACTTTTTAGCAGGGCCTGTTGCGACAGGACAAGGGGGAATGGCTTAAACTACAGGGGGGTAGATTGAGACTAGATATAAGGAAGACATTTTTTACTCTGAGGGTGGTGAAAGACTGGCCCAGGTTGCCCAGAGAGGTGGTGGATGCCCCATCCCTGGAAACATTCAAGGTGGGGTTGGACGGGGCTCTGAGCAACCTGATCTAGTTGAAGATGTCCCTGCCCACGGCAGGGGGGTTGGACTAGATGATCTTTGAAGGTCCCTTCCAGCCCAAACTATTCTATGATTCTGTGATCCAGAGAAAGACAGTAAAAGAGAGCAGGTGATGCTATAAGTGAGTAGGACATCCATTGAGCTGGGGAAATCCTAGTTCCAGTCTGCAAGTTAAGGACTAATTTTCATCTATTGCCTGTTGGATGTAAAGATTCTGGTAGGTACTAAAGTAGGGTTTAATATCTGACGTTAAAACTCTAGAAACTGAAAGAAATAGGGAAATGCTATTTAGAATTACACTTGATAGAAAAAAAAAAGCTTTTGTATTGAGCGTTGGAAAGGTACTTGACAGAAGAAATAAGAATTCGCAATCTATTTCCCAGTCTAAGGAGGTGAGAGCAAAGAACATTTGTGTTTTTGCTGTGGTGTTTCGGGAACTTTTGTTGTAGTTGTTTTTTGTGGGGGGTTGTTTGTTTGTTTGTTTGTTTTTTAAATATAAGGCACCAGCTGGGAACGCATGCTAAATTGTCATTTTTGGTTTTCAGTTGGAGGTAGCGTACATCATCGTTTACACTTTCTTACCTCAAAAGCCTCCTTCTTCAATTCCCTTGGTCAGAGACATGTGCAGTTACAGTGTGTGACCCTGTTCCTGGCAAAGTCAGAGGCTTGCCGTCGGCTGCAGCTGGGACAGGCAGGCCCTTAGTGCTATGATCAGTTAATATTTAACCTTCTTGTGAACTCTGGCTCAGTTTTACCGTTCCAGCCTACTGGGAGTGCCTGCTCAGGAAAGAAGTTTGGTACAGAAACGCTATTGAAAGTCTCCATTGACCAGAGGGTCAGACTCTGCTCTCACGCAATCTCTAGAGACATTGGAGAGACCCAGAGCTAATGCAGCCCTTGCAAGTGTGTAAATGTCTCAAAATGGTGCATACTCTAACCTTCACTGTGGAAGAAAGATTGTTAAATGTGTGATGTTTGATAAGGCTGCCTGTGTTATACCTGCAACTGGTTTTGATGGTGAGAACAGGCTGATGTAGACAAGCTGGAGTTTGATGCACCAGTATGTGAGAAGCCATTCGGAGGAGGAGCATGAGGATAAGCCACTATCACTGGGAAGATTCAGGCAGTCCCCTTTCCTTCCTACATCAGGATTTAGTATCTCCACCACCATCAGGATAGAGAGACTACACAGGTAGGAAGTTTCCTTGCATATCTGCTGCTGGGGTCACTAAAAACTTCCTATTTCCCGGGACGAGGTGGAGAAGCCCAAGGCTTTTTATGTTGACTGCCCTCAGCAGTCACTCAGACGTGAACCATGAAGCACCACAGCAGTGGCTGGGAGCTGGGAGCAACTACAGAGCTGCTGCGCTGCCTCTGTCCCCGTCAGCACCAAGCCACTGTGACACAGGGAGGATGGAGATGTTTGGGGATTTATTTTAAGCCATCCTTTTGCAGTTTTGCAGGGTTTTTTTGAGGGGGGTGGGGATGAAGGCAAGGTGCAAAGTGAGACCCAACTTTTCATTAGGCTAAAACAGCTGTTTTAAGATGGGTTTGAACAGCAGCAGAAATGGGCACATTCTACCAAGAACCCGTTGACACTTGTAGCATGCTGCAGATGCGCAAAGCATGTGGCGGAGGCATGCAGAAAGTTTATTATAATACAAGCAGTGTCATCCGCTGCCTGGTCCCATTGCACTGCTGCAACGGTGCCTCATTAGGTGGGGAATAGCCCTGATTACTGAACACTGCTTGTTTGTAAAGTGACAAATCAGGCTAATTAGCTGTGTGGGTGGAGTATTGGTTTCAGACTCATCAAGAGGGCATCCTCATCCTTTCCTCAATTATATGCATCCAGCAGCGGGGTTGGGCGCAGATGTCTGTTCATGGGTGCTGCTTCTCTAGAGCTTATGGACAGAAAAGCTGGGCTAAATGGGGCACTGAGAGAATCTTTTTTTAGCCTGTCACTGGGACCGTGAATTGCAGCAGCGCAACTGGCACTTCTGCAGTGTGTAAGGAATGCTTCTTTCTCACCCTGCGGGATATGTGACGAGAGTGGGCGTGCAGCGATGATCAAGTCACCGAGTTAAGTGGCAGGCTTGTGTGACTGATTTACAAATACCAGTGTTCTTTATTTACACAGACATGTAAACAACAGAAGGTAAACAACACTGCCCAGCTCGGTCTAACAAACAGGCTGCTGCTATTTCACTTATGACCTGAGGTGTTTTAGACATTTCACAGAAACTGTATTGACAGCAAACACAGGAAGGCTACGAGGTTACCTTGACTCTCTTCTTTGCACGGGAATCGCATGCACGGTGCAGCAGCGTGAGGGAATGGCACCACTTGAGACCACAAAGCAAGCGTTCGGAAAGAACCCACTAAGAGCTTGCCTTAAGGTCGGATATGGCTGGAGTTAGCAATATTTGCGAGTAGTATCACTGCAACTAGTCTGTACTCTAACAGCACTTTCCACCCAAGGATCTGAAAGCACTTTGCAAACAGACCACAAATCTTTGTTGCATCCTTTGCAAATTATTCCCAGTTTACACGCAAGGAAACGGAGGGCCTTCAGATAGCGACTTTCCCAGAGCTCAGGTTTTACTGGTCTCGTTTCCCAACCTTGTGCTTTAAATATAGCACCATTCTTCCTTCCCAGAAGTATATTGCTTCTTGACATTTTAGGACAAGCTTTTGAATTCAAAGTGACGCTCCAAGCACTGCAGGTAGAAGGGCAGCGGACGGTCCCAGTCACTACCAGAAGCTGTTTCGCTTCAACAACGCCTCTGCTGAAAGAGGAGCCAGCTACTGTGCGATGCATTGCACCCATCCCCATGCTTTTTCAAGTTTGTCTGAAAACAGAATTAAGGGTAACATTAGCTGCAAAAGAAAAACTATTTGAAAACAACTGTGCTAATCTGCTGTCTTGCAAATTTAACTGCAACAGTAAGCCATACACACACAGTGTTTTACTTAGTCGAAGTATTTCAAATAGAAATGTTACACTAAATTTGTAAGACAGAAAAATACCTAGTGGAGCAATGAAGTGTTCAGGAAGTTAGCTGCTTTGTGTCGAGGAACAAATTTCCTTATAGTTTAGCAGCAAAAGCATCAGCTAGGACTTAAACAGGATTTAATTCTCAGCTGTAAATTCACATTTTGGTTCCACTTACACTTCCTGAAAAAAACCAGATTGACAGGTGTTGGGTTTGTTGTTTGGGTTTTTTTTGGTTTTGGGTTTTTTTCCTATTGCTAAGTGATCACCATGGCTTGAACCCAAAACTGGTTTCAGCCTTTCTACCTGTTTCTAACATGAATAGCAAGTTAGACAGGCTCAGCTCATACGCTAGATCAAATTCAAGCACGTATGAAGTGTTCAGGAAGTTAGCTGCTTTGTGTCGAGGAACAAATTTCCTTATAGTTTAGCAGCAAAAGCATCAGCTAGGACTTAAACAGGATTTAATTCTCAGCTGTAAATTCACATTTTGGTTCCACTTACACTTCCTGAAAAAAAACAGATTGACAGGTATTGGGTTTGTTGTTTGGGTTTTTTTTGGTTTTTTGGGTTTTTCCTATTGCTAAGTGATCACCATGGCTTGAACCCAAAACTGGTTTCAGCCTTTCTACCTGTTTCTAACATGAATAGCAAGTTAGACAGGCTCAGCTCATACGCTAGATCAAATTCAAGCACGTGAGAATTGCTGCTAAAAAAGCAGCCGGGAAGGTGGGTTTGAGCACAGTATGTAAATGCTCAGCTGCCTTCTCTTGTGCATGTTATGCTTCAAGTAGTTTTACTTCTTCCGCCCTCCCAGTAAGAACTACAGTGATGCCCTGTATTCAGTTATCATAGGAAAGGAGATGAATTGCCACAACCGTAAGATACATCATTTACAGCTGCCAGTACAACAGCAGGTAAAATAAAAACGGAGAAGGCGGCCTGTTTTTCTTAAATCGGCATTTCTGCAATCCTTTCAATCCCCCAGGTGAAAAGAAAACTTTAGAAATTCTCCTTAAATAAAAACTATGTACAAATTGCACACATTGCAAATGGAGCACTGAGATCAGTTACAGAAAATAAGATGTACAGTCTTCACTGATAACATCTCTCTCGCTATAAACAGTGATAAACAGCATATGCTTTCTTCAGATGTCAGAACCCAGCAAGACTGCAATATTATGTACACAGGGCTTGTTTGCCTTCTGCCTCCCGCAGCAGAGTCCCTCCAAACTCTGTTTTCGCTTCAGAAAGCTGTGCAGCGACGTTCCTGCGCACCGCATCTCTCCCGCTCGGCAGATCACAAGAGAGCTGTCATTGCTGTCTGGCTTATTGGTTTTAGGCAGTCTCTGGGCGTTGAGTAACCCTCGCTCCCGAGGGCATTGGGCTGAGGTTTCTGGTAGTCCGTGCTGTAGCTCACGGAGGTCAGAACACCGTTAACTTTGGGTTTGTCGTATTTTATGACACTCTGGGGTGTCTGATAGTCTCCGTTCCTGGTATCGGTCTTACACGAACTAGAGAAGCTGCCGGCAGAAAGGGAGTGTTTCTGGGATGAGACGACGGGTACGTTGTAGCCGTTTTCAGAGGGAAAATTATTTTCTCTTGCTATGTGCCGCTCTATGATGGGGGTGGCGTATTCGGGCTCTTGGCTGGTCAGGGGCAGAGCATACTCGTGCCGGTTAGCTCTGTGCGGACAGTGATAGTGATTTTCGAACTCTGAACTCCCCCTTCTTCCCTCGTCTTTGGTGTCCATGGGTCGAAAAGTAGATCCTTTCCGTGTTACCATCCCAGTCCCGATCATGAGAGGCTGCTGATAATCTAAAAGGAAGCATGAACTGCTCAATAAGGCACAGATGAATTATTTTTTTTATTCAGTACTTTATGCATTGGTAAGTATTTTATGTTGAAAAACGACTCGGTTATTGTATCAAACGCGTGGTTATCAGGGATGTGAGGAAACCTTGCCCCAATGCCTGTCCTACTAACCTCCTTCAGCAAGCAAGTGTTGCAGAACACGGCAGAAGCTCTTCCACGGAGGAGCTCCAATCTGCCACCCCTTTTCCTACTCCCTCCATCCCTTTCCCCGCCTACCCACACAAATAAATTAACATCATTTCTGGAGTATACTCAAAAGCGCTAAAAAAAAGAGAGAAGTCAACAGAATTTTAGCAATGAACTGGACAAAGGACATTGCATGAAGATCCACAAACGAGAAGTTCTCCAAAACAAGTGTTCCACTTCTGGAATAATTAAAATGCCCAGAGGATTCTTAACGAGCCCGACCAAGTGCCGGCTTTATTTAAAAGGCATCTTGCAGTAGCTGACTGACAAGAAGGATGAAGTTAGATGGAACGGCAGCCAAGAGAGTCAAGGGAAGTGTGAAATGCGCTAAGCCAGCTCAGCACTGCTGCGGGCGCGCGAGGGGGGACGAGCCGTGGGAGGAGAAGTGGGACCGGTGCCGCTGGAGGAACCGGGCAGTCACCCTGGTCAAGGGGGACGGCAGGGATAGAGCTGGGGATGGGCAAATGGCCCGAGCAGGAGCAAGGAGCGAGATGGAGGAAATGTGGCTTCAAGAAGTGCATGTTTGCACCTCTAGTCGAGGCAGATGCCAGGCTGCCGTGTACGAAGGAGATCTGGACTAAAAAGGTTTTAAAAAAAAAAATCCAGTAAAACTATTATGAGAAAATTCAGCGTTCTAACTTTCTCGCTTTGGTGCTAGTGACAATCTCTTACAGATACATACGGTGGCCTGAACAGCTCTAGTAAATGACACTGCTAAAGTATCATGTTTTGACGCAGGCACGAAGAAGTTAGCTCAGTTTCTGTTCTGGCATCGTGGTTCATCTGACATGAGCGTCGAATTCGATCCCATATGTCCTGTGAATCTTTTTGGCAGTTCCTGGCTGCTTCCCAAACTTCAGCATGTAGGGTGAAGGTGTTATGATATTTCACTGAGTAAGTGGTGCAGCTCTTCCCGACATCGCTGCCGCCATCCCCAGCAATCTGCCTCGCTCAAGATGAAGCATCTCGACTTGCTCCCGGCTGCCTTTGAGAACTGGCAGCCGGGAATTCAAAGGGGGGGAATTTCATGTAGCATGTTAACCTCTACGCAAGTTGCATGCCCTCTGCAATTAAATCATTAAATGGCATATTTCTGGGCTGTGGTCATATTTTTATTTCATGTTTCTTATTTTTAAGGAGACTGTAAGTGAAATGGTAAGGATGGGGAGCTGCCTGGCCAGACTGAGGTTTAAGACTTCCCACACACGGCAGGAGGGAAGGATGGGGAGAACAGAGGCTCCCCAGACACGGCCGGGGGAACCATGATTTGTGAGCAACCTTTATTCACTCCCTTTCCTTCATGAAATAAAACTGCTTTATAGGTCTCTGCATATTTATATTGAAAGTTTCTGTAAAGGATTGAAACCATCTTTGAAAGATACCCAGGGCAGCACCATATGGAATTACAGTAACCATCCATTTGTTTTTTAAATTTATTTCTCTGCCAAATACATTGGAGGAATTCTAAGGAATTTCTAAGGTCTGGAGGCTGGAAACAGCAAATTACTCTTTCTGGAGGACTGCTGATCACTGATCCCATGCAATGGCTGATCTCACTAGCCTTTCCAGACAGACTAAACTTAGGCAGGGCTAAGATGTGCTAAGAGGATGAATTAAAAAATCATCCCTTTGGGATGCAAATACTGATGTGGGGATTGGCTCTATCCAAACAGTGACCTGGAGCCAAGGTAGCACAGGAGAGAAGCACTGTGGGGTTTTTTTTTCTTCTCTCTCATCTACCTGCTTCCGCTTCAGGGGGCCTCATCTCCAAAATAGTTCAGGCACCAGGAAAGCTGCACAGGGATCTTAGCACGACTTCCAGCTGGGCATGACATCCCACCGCAAACAGCTAAGTAATTTTCCTATTTGCTCAGCAGCAAGGGGCATTGTTCTATTTCCAGAGACTTTTGTGTTTAAATAGAAACACAAAAATTAGTCAGCAAAGCCAAACTATCCTATCCGAGGCACATTCTTGGACTGCATCCATGCCTGACTGCCTTCCGTGGTTACCTTCAGCTGTAACTATTTCAGAGTCAGGAAATCTTTCCCGAAAACTCCAAGAAAAGATTTCCAAAATAGTGGGTTTTTTTCCACTGATATGTTTAGCTGCTTCACTATACATCTGGGATGAACACAGATAAATCTGTTCCTGGGCCTCACCTTGCATGAGAGCTGGAGCTTGTAACATTGCTGGCCCATCCCTCTCCCTGTTACCTGTTCTGCACGCAGAGTGAAATGAAGGCATCGCAGGGGGAACAATTGTTACCTGCCATGTCACTGGTGACCAGATCTAGTTTTTGTGGTGTCTCCTTCTCATTGTTATAGCTGATGGTAAATTCAGTTGACTGATGTCTGGTGAAGGGCTGCTTGATTTGTTTCCAACAACCTATGATAAAGAAATAAAAATAGAAGGCTTATCAGCAGGTTAAATGCTTACAATCAGACTTATCAGAAAGTTTAATTTTTGGTGTACTCATTGCTGTCAATATATTAAAGTATTTAAAAAGCAAGACTAAAACAGGCTGTTTGTAAAAAAAGAAAAAAAAAAAGAAGAAGAAAGAGAAGAGAGAAAAAAATGAGAAAAAAAAGAGTATTAAAGTATTTAAAAAGCAAGACTAAAACAGGCTGTTTGTAAAAAAAGAAAAAAAAAAAGAAGAAGAAAGCCCCCTAAATACAAAGGGTGAAAGGGAAACAGTGAATCATCAACTGGGATTTCCAAGTGAAAATGAAACTTTATAGAGGATTTTCTTGGCAAGAAGGGTTCAAACTCAGTAGGTGCCTGCACTGATGCCTTAACAAAGTATATCAGTAAAATACCAGCTTTAAATCAGCTACATGTTTTGCCATTGCTTATGTGGCAAAAATAATGCTTAAAATTTCATTTTTTCAGTAGACTAGTATGGCTTCCATTCCCTTGCTATCCGAGCACCTGCACTCATCAACTAATTTGTTCTCACAACATCCTTGTGAAACAGAAAAGAAAAAACCCAGTGTCAGGCACTTGCCTAGAGCCTGCAACAGGAGGTCTGTGGAGAGGTGGGTTCAGTTCCCAGCTTTCTAGGTCCCAAGCCTGGTTCACGAGGGCTTAGGAGCTTGATTTATGAAGCACACACGCAACAAATGAACTGACTGGGTAAGAGGCTATCTCCAATTTCTTGGGATTTGTCCTCATTAGCAAGTGAGAAAGGATTATGATGTGACCTTGAAAAATCCTATCAGCAAATAAGATGTTAAGTACAAATTAATTTTCTAATGAGGGTGAGCTGCAGTGGGTAACAGCATTCCTTTCACTGATGTCGGCACCTGCTGAGGGATGAAATTTCAGAGCTGAGCTATTGCAAGGCACTTGTCAAGAGACGTGTGAATTGCTTAGTGGTTTCTTTTTTTATGGAAAGCCGAGATTCAGAAGAATATTCCTCTATAGAGTTGGCTGGCCAGGAAAAAACAGCTAAACCCCAACTAACTTCCAAGCTGATGGGAGACTCCACTCTAGAAAGCGGTATTGAGCAAGACAAAGCATATATTTCACAGAGGTTTTGCAGGCATCTCCTAAAGCAGAGTCTTCAAGCCAATCCCCTATTCAGATTTTACACATGAAGTGCAATTCAGTATTGTTAGGCTTTATAAATACAGTTCCAACCAGGGAGGGCAGCGAGATGGAAATATTAAAGCCATAAAAAATTATTAGCCCTTGCTCTCTTGGAGAAAGGCAGTTCCCTCTGCTGTGGGGAAAAGAAAAAGAAAGCAGCAATTTTCTGCAAAATAGGTATTTTGGAGGAGGGAAGGAAAGGGGGGGCACCTGGGAGCACTCTTACATGCTAATTTATGCGCTTTGTATAATAGATCTTTTGCTAATTGCCTTTCTGTCATAGAAACCAAATTACATTGTTTCTCAGGGCACTGTGCTAGGATGATACGAGTGGGACTATCATTTGCCGTTTCCCTTGTATGAAGAGGTGAATTTGAACAAGGAAATGTGGAAGCTATTTCATAAGCATTTCATGCTTAGTTGCATAAACCCCTTCCTGTTGGCCCAATGGACAGGACAGGACAAAGCGCATGATTCTCCACTAACCTGATTTCTGAGCACTGGATAATCCATAAGAAAGTCCTTTGGCTTCTCGCCTGCGAGGAGAGGAAAGCATTTATAAACATCTGCACTCACAGCATTTCAGCTTCATGCCTTAGCTCCAGCAGAGAGAGCCTTTGTGTTTAGTGGCTGAGGACGACGCGCCACTTTGAGTTCCTGGAGGCCGGTGTTTACTGGAACATAAGGCATGCAACCCGGGGTTTTGACATTTCGTTTTTCCCCATCTGTATGCAAGTTGAGAGTGCTGGTGTTCAAATTTCTTGTGTCTGGCACTCATCGATTTGATGTGTCCATGTCCGTATGTGTCACTCCAGGTTATGTTTTGGGTCTGCTCTTCTGCATTCTTTGGCTAGTTTATAGATTTACTGGGAATCCAGGGCAGAGCTGGGTACCGCTAGTGATGAAGCAACGTCGCCAGAGCGTTGCTTATACTTCCAAATCCCCATCTGCTGACAGAAGCATTTCCCTGTTCTACATGCAAGGGCAGGTTCATATGAATGGACATCTAGCAGGAACCACAGTTAGCAATGCTTCTTCCAGTCCTCCGACTTGTGAAATGAAGTGGCTTAATTTTAGCTGCTTACCAGTGTACGCCTGCAACTCCTTACAGCTGAGCTCTGCTTTCAGCCCGCTAGGTTAAGTGCTCTAACTTAAGGGTCTGGGAAGCAGAAACACAACAGGAGGGAAATGAAAGAAAATGATCCAGACAGATAGCTCAAATCCTCCCTTCACTGAATTTTAACTTGGCTTTGGTGTGGAGACTATTCCGTCTTCGATTGCTTTACACCTTAGTATTTGTGGGTATATGTAGGCTGAAGAGAACAGCCGGTTACATTGGACTGTAAATTGGGGTGTGCAGTTCTGACCTCCTTCACCTTAGTTTTTGTCCGACTAGGGGGGACGTACAATGAGAAATACCATTTACAAAGACACAACATGAGTTCTACTTAAAAGGAAGACTGCCAAACAGTACCAATTTCCAGCTCCCTGGTAAAGAGGCTCTGGAAAGAGGGCACGTAGTTGGACATGCTAGCTAGGTAGCCACAAATGCCTCCTATGACAAAAGACGGTATCTTACTTTCTTAGGGCTGCACAGATACAGATTCCAGAGAACAGGAACAGACACAGCACGATGAGGACGGGGACAATTATAGCTGTAAGCTTTAAGCCTGCATGAGGAAAAAAAAAGATAAAAGTTAAAAAGGCAAATTACTCTGAGGCTGATAATTTTTACTACAGAGAATTTAGCAAAAGGCAGATAATCTTGCAGGAACACTCCTTGCAAGAGAGCATGAAAATGTAAAACTATAAAACTGCAAGACCGGTCCTCAGCTGTACTTAGTTGCCATGTACCTGTGTGGAACAGTGTTGAGACGAGAGTTAAATATACTTTCTCAAGGCTGACACTTGGCTTAATGTCTATATGCATCCTTACAAAGAGCAGTTCTTTCTTACTACACACTAGGTAACTTTTAAAAAGCCACTTACAACAACTCTGCTTTCAGTCGCTTATAAAACTGCCAAACGAGGCTGCAATTTTACATGCCGAGTATCTGGCTCATGCTGAATTGGTTGAAACATTTCAGTCAAAATAGTTCAAAGATTTCCAGGAGTGGAGCTAGGGAAAAACCTTTTTAGCCCCTGTTAAATTCTAACACAACATGGTTTAGAGCAGGGATTTGGAAATTAGCAGTGGGGTGGCTCTTGTGTCAGGAGCGTGCCATTCGCTGTTCCTACAGACGCTTACCAGGCTGTGAGAATAAGGTGGTGCGTGTGTCCACAGGGTATTTACAATTGAGCAGATGAAATCTCAGTAGATTTCATTTTCAGTGAACATGGATACAATTTATCCATACCACTGCACAGATGAACTGAGCTTGCTCTTGGCAAGAGCAATGCAGTTTCAGAAGAGCTTTTTTTCTTACAGATTGCTTCTTAACAACCAGTTTTTTTACAAAGATATTCCTACAACTATGAGCTACCTAATGGGTAGCAGTGTTTGGTGTGGTGGGTCTGGTAATTCCTGCCCAGCTATGGGTCCACCAAGCAGTCAGTATAAGCAACAAATTTTGTTTGCTTGCTTTTTAAGATCCAAGAAATTAGCTCCACAACATTAAAGGATGAAGATTGCATATTCTGGGCAGAAGTATGAGAATTAAGGTTTTCTGAGCCCCTGTGAACATAGGCATTATGAAATAGTGTTTAATTACCCAACCATGCACTACTATATGTTGCTTATAGCTGGGGACCTGCTCTGGGAGGTGTCATGTTTGCGTAGAGAGAAGGTAACATTTTTGTGAGATCACTGCCTCACGTATTGAAAAAATTATAAAATATAGGAAGAGGGTGAGGAAGAGCTCCTCCACAAAATGCTGATGAGTGCTCAGTGTAGTCCCTTGAGCCACCCACCAAGCATGGCAAATAAACCAGTACGACAGGGAAACCAAAGCCTGATGTTTCACACATCAAGGAAAATTAAGGCTTTCAATCTCTTTCTGTGCCTTAAGACAAAAAGAGCCTATGTTCCTCCCTCTTCCCTCTGTCATTAACCTTTAATAAACTCTGAAGGGAAAAGAAAAGTTTTGATTTGTGAGAAAGTTTAAAGTTCACTCAGGCTGGGCTGAAGACATGGTGCATCCTAGAGAAAATGCAGCGCTAGGTAGTGTTACCCAAGTTAGTTTCTTCCAACGGGATGGGCTCCGTAACAGTCCTGTCTTCTTTTCCAAGGGAGGTTTCTGTGCTCTGACTTGGTTTCTGCCACATTGAATGCGTAAATGAACTATTAGCTGCAAAAGAGAAGGGGGCATCAGTGGCACTGTGGTAGCACAGGGGGCTTTGGAGGCACCATGCCTGGGGAGCGCCGCTTACCCCATACCTTGCATTATTTGACAGCCCATCAGCTCGAGCTTCAATGCTATTCTTTGGTTCCAAGTCTGAGGGATAATTCGCACGTAACGGGCCACTATTGGAGGGATGAAGTTATTGCGTACTATGTCACCAGCGTTGGAGTTGCCTTGGAATACCTGCAACGAAACGTAAGCACGTTGTTTGCTCTGTTCTAAAAGTCTCGTTCTTCAAAGTGCTCCTGACATCCAACTTCAAAGATTTTCATTATCCTAAAACTAATATATTGATAATCTGGGATGCAGCCACAAGATCTTTGGAAATGAGAGTTCTGGAAAGAAATAATCATTTTAGTTCTGACAGATGATCACATTTTTCTGTTAGCTTGGAGAAGAAAGATTATCACTCTGTTTCAATTCTGTGTAATTTCTAGTTAATGTATGCTGGTATAATGCTATCATTTGTGATTTAATAGCACTGCAGCACCCTTACTTGGGCAACAGGGGATAAAAATGTAAAAAGAAAAAACTTGAAGTGAAATATTTCTAGACATTTTGGTAAAATGGTCCGTTTTCTGTACCAAGCTTGAAGAGTGATTATTAACTATGTAGTTGGGTCTCCTTTTCCCTGCACTTTTACAGTATTTCCCAGAATCAGCTCAGCCCATGTGCAGAACAGTAGTCCTTGCAAAATTAGTTCCTGGAGATGCTAGGGGAACTTAAAAGCCTGATGAGATAGGGAAGTGAGCTCAGCATTTCTTAGATAAAATGCCACGCCGCATGGGGTTCGGATGGGACAGGTTTTGTCATGCACCTTAGCTGAAACTAAGATCATATATAATACTTTCATAAGATTATTTGTAAATAACAAGTCATTGTGAAAAACTGCACACCTGCAGATTTTAAATAGCTAGCCTTCACAGTTCAGCCACTACTAGGTTGATTTGTGACTTTTTGGGCCAACACCCCCGAGTTTAACATTTAAGAAATCTTAAGCCAGTTTAACGTTGCGCAGTGAAATTCCTTGCCATACAAGCTAAGAAAATCAGAGCTAGTAGGAAATCTCTCTACAGCTCTACCGAGTTTTTAAAAACTGCTGTCAGGACTGAGGACCAGGTAGAGCCTTATCCTGAGGCAAGCTGAGCTCCCTCAGAAATGATGAGTGAAGGTCTGACTTTGAACACTGTGGGGGCAGAGAGGGTTTTTTTTGTTTGTTCGAAAGGAAACACGAGGTTTTCAGGGGAAAAGGTTATCAGACAAACCTGTGCAGCACATCCTTTGTCTGCAGGGACTAGTTGCACTGCTTTTATCTGTTCGTTGTTAAAGTCACTCAGAGTCTGTGAAAGCTGTTTTGTGGACAGGTATTTTGGTGTAAGAGCATTTATTTTAAGTTCAGTTACATCGATTCTTAACAGACATAGGCTGTGCCCACAGACTTGTGTCAGAAGAGTCCCGCCAGCGAGGGGCGGGGAGCGGTGCCGTCCCTGGTGATAACACAGCCGAGCAGGAGCTTGATCCGCAGGCGCAGCTTCACCAGCAGTGCTGTGCTTTTACCCGAGTCGGTTGTTTCGCTTGTGGGGGGTGGGTTGGCCATGCTGGTGCATCTGAAGCTGACTCTCAGCTCTGCTGGTGCTGTGCCGACCGATGTTTCTGCACTGGTACAGCGTTCCTAGCACGGGCAAGCACTGAGCTGAGCTAAAGACTTGCCCAAACAGCCTGTTGTACAGCTTTAATTACAACGTTTTTTTTCAAAGAAGGATACACACATACACATGCCTCCCTGTGTGTGTCTCACAACTTCAGCAAGCCCTGGATAACTTCCTTGTTTCAACAAGCTCACTATCTACTCCGTGGCCGTAAATTACACTGGTGAAGACAACCCAAGTCTAGACAAGTCTGAAACTCCTAATCTTTCTTGACAGTGAAAGCCTGCCCTTCAATGTCAAGGCAGCGTACGCATTATTGCTCTGTTTTCCTACCCCTCCCACTTTCCCTTACCTTTTCTTCATTGCTCAGAATCCCTTTGTAAGTTCTCCATTTCGAGTTGTTATTTTTATAGTTCATTGTAAATGTCTTTACGTAAAAGTTGAAATTCAGTGTCACGGATCCAGAACCAGTGGTCTTAATCCCTTTTAACAAAATGCAAAATACATTTTCATTTGTTAGGTGTCTCTTTTAAAGGAACATTTTCAAATGCAAACACAGAAGCCGAAACAATTTGGAGAACTTTGCCTTCTAAGTCTTAATTTATTTTTCAAACTGTGTTGGAATTGAGTTTAAAAGTTGGGTGAAGTATGGAAATCAGTTTTAAATTGTGAATTTAGAGCAATGGAATTTTTACCAGAGCCCAAATTAATGACTCCAGAAATGGTAATTGCTTTTTGATATTATGGTCCATATCATGAGTCTTTACAACTTTAGCAGCAACTGTAATTTACATTTTTACAACTTAACCAGGAAGTGGAAACAGGAATTTCTTTCACCTGGACCATTGTTTCAAAGGCTATGACTTTAGTGTTTCTTATTGATTCCAGAACTGCATCATTAATAGATCCTAAGCAATCGTTTATCATCCATCCAGACTCTACTGGTCCCCGTGTAAGTATTTTGTTCTGAGCCTAACAGCATGTTTACAGATCAGGCATGCATGACAGTTGAGTTCAATCCTATATACAAGACCAGTCTTGTAAATAGCCGTGATTTTTTAAATAGGAAAATAATATTCCTCAATGCAGAACATTTCGTTACATTTAATGAAAGAAACATTGCATTGGTGCATTATTAGCTTTTCAGCTGCATTCAGTTTCTTCTCCAGCTGAAACCCCAGCTTCTAATAACCAGATAGTGACATACCCGTTATTCTCTTCTTCTCTCCCAAGTCTATCTCCAACCATTCACGATTGCTGCTGTGGTTAGAGGCCCAAGCCAATCCTGGGGCTTGAAGCCAAGCCTTGTTGGGAGACCACTGGAATAGTTGCCCAAATTCGTTGGTCTCCTCCCAGTAGGAAGATGCAGTAACCTGGGTCTTGGAGAGGAATCCCTCTTCCAGACTTAGAGATTTGTTGCAGCCTAGGAGTCCCCATACAGACAGACAGAAGGAGTTATTTTGTGTTTTCACAGCATATTTTTATATTAGGCTAGCAACATATGAAGACCACCCACAACAGCAAAGTCAGATGTTGCTTAATCTAGTGCTAGCCTGATGCTATCCATTAGCTGTGGTGCATGCCAATCAATTTGTAGTGGATGATCCAGTACCAGAGTGCTGCGGTCCTTCTCCTTTACCAGTTTAACTCCTACGTACATGACACCTTCTAACTACATCTGCTATTTTTGCCATTTTGTTTTTTAATCTCCGCAGTTTTGTCTCATTCTTGTGAAGATGTCTTATATTTTTAAATTTTCCTTCTGAAACATAATATTTATGTTTCGAGATTGGCATTAACTAATTTTGCTGTACAAAACATTTCTCAGATGAAGGCACTGTACTGAAAGGAACACTTTACTGTAAATATTTCATGATTTTCACCTGCAATTAGGGCTAGGAAAGTTACTCATTAGAGAAGCTCCTTAATACTGCTGCCAAGAGGTGATATCATGAAGATAATAGCTGCAGGTAAGTATAACAAACTCCACCAAAGAACCCGCAAAATTTCTGCAGATCAAGGTTCTTCGGAGAAAACAGGCCAGTGGAATAAGGTTTCAGTGAAGTTAAAAATAATTCCCTGGCAGTTTCAAAGGCCTATACATGCTCTACAGTTTTCAGTGGAATAGTAAATGATTTTATCTCGGATGACTGAAATATAATTCAAATGAACGAGCGCGAACTTTTCCCCCCTCTTTGCTATGTTTTATGCAAATGAACAGCTTGACAGATTAAAGACGCTTTTGCATCTTGGAAAGTCATAAACAAAAACTCGTTCCGTATCAATGCAATGTAAATATATTTTCATTCCTCTCTATGCTTTCATTCTCTTCTTGTATAACGAAGACAGAATTTGTAAATGTCTGAAGAAAAACTGCTTTCATTTTCTGCCACCTAAAGTACATAAAAATGGGATTATCTGATTGCCATTTTTCATATGCTGGCACCAGAAATGTAACAGCAGAATACTATTTCTGTTTCTCCTCTATGCGCGTATGACCTATTCCTATTCTGTGTTTTTTTCTAGCTCACTTCACATCCCTTCAACTTTTTTATTCAACTTGCCAATTTTAAAAAATGGCTGTCTGAAAATATCCTTCCTAGACACAGCCTGACATTCTCCTGATTACTTTTCAAAACTTTTACAGAAAATACTTAAATAAAAAGGTAAAATTTGAATAGCTAAAAATAAAGCCATTGTTCTTACCATTTGAAGTAAATATAAACCGCTTATCTGACAGCGAGCCACTGTAAGAAAAGAAAAAGGTAATTCAGCCTTTCAGGAGGCGGTCACGGGAACGCTGAGATACGGTTTCAAAATCACTGCTTATCTAGCAAAATATCTCGCCAGATAGCCGCTTGCTTTGCTGGCTGGTTACCGACCCACTCGGTAGGGGGGTATGCACTCTTGTGCATCTCTCACCGTTTTTTAATGGGTTTGAGCATTTGTTATGCTTTAAGTGACTCCCCATCCCTTCAGCCTGTTACTCTTGCTGCGTGCTTCTGCTTTTCTCCTCTGCACAGGCCCTGCACCGCTGTGGGAAAGCTTACCCCTTCTGCTCCTCAGACCAGCAACACAAGAGCATTCAGAAGAGCCAGGGATGGGAAAGCTAACAGGGCCTGGAGCTCCTGGCCGTGACTGCTCCCGCACCGGGCCCAGGCCTCTTCTCACCTACAGTAGCTTAAATTAGAGAAACTTCACTGCAATCAATGACTTTCTATTAGTCCAAGTCCACATCTAGTTTGAAGAAAATCCAGCCTTAAGCACTGTGGAACAGTTACGCTTGATGGTGACTAAACCACGTCAGCTCTGACCGTTCCTACTTTGGCTACAGGTGTATCACAGCCAGACTGAATGAAAACTACTCCTTGTTTTAATCTGAGTTGGAACCTGTTCTGTTACAACCACGACCAACAGCTCCCATCAGGAATGGTTCTTTTTGCTCCGTTAACAGGACCACATCTATGGCTGCCCTTTTCTTCCTCCTTCTGACATGAACAGCTTTGCTTCAGGAGAAAAGTCATTTCTTGGGCCGCTCCATACAACCCTGCACAATGCAGGACAAGATAAAATCACCACTGTAAGGGAAAGCTGAGCTTTCCTTGGCCTCCCATGGAGCCACTTTCTGTTTCCCAGTGAGATGCCCCTGAGGTTTCATTCCAGAAGCGATGACTGACTGGCTGCCTAATAAAAATAAAAGCCCGGCTTTTAACATGAAATTAGTTTGGATTTCTTGAAAAGCTGACCCCCTCAACGTCGCTTTGATTAGCCGCATGCATCACTTGCCCCTTTTGAAAAGCCTTGGCCAGCTTGACTGAGCAGTAAAACAACTTCTACACTTAAACGTCAACACAGCTCCCTTTCAGGCTGCCCTTTGTTGTTGGCCGGGAAAATTTCCCCCCAGGTACTGTCTGTGGGCTAACAGCGGTGCGCAGGGCTGTATGTTTTGAGAGCGCTGCAAACGGGGAATAGGAAAGTGGTTGCACGTCAAGGTCAATAAAAACACTGCTTCTTTTTGTCACTGAGGGAAAAGTAATGACCACAGGCAAATGAAGCCCTTCAGAGATGACGGAGAGCACTGGGAGGGAGCTGATTTATTTGGGCGTGTAGGCGGTAGAGTAGCTGGAAGGAAAAAGCCGAGCTCTCCCTCCCACACCTTCCCCCCCAGGCAATCCTCAGGGGCGATCAGATGTGCTCTGCTCGTTGCAAACCAGTTTGACGTTACAGCCAAAACAATTTTTGCTTTCTTAGTGAATACAAAGCAATCCATTTCAAGAGGAAAGAAGAAAATAAAAACCCATGGTGATCAGTAAAACCTACTCAAAACAGAAATCACAGCGCTCCTCGAATACTTATTTATGAGATAATGCTTTGTAATAAAAAAGTCACCGAGATCCCTTTCAAACAGAGGTCTGCAATTTTAGCAGAGAAAGGGAGGAGGTTAGCGTTTCTGAGGTCTATAAAGCTATGAAAGCAAGCTGAAATATTTCTGCTATAATTCTGCAAGTCACTGAAGAGGACAAACTAATTCAGTAAGTGGTAATTCATCAGTTTCCTAATGTGACAGGTGGCATTTGTCACACAAATTTCACGTTATCCTTTAAGGGATGGTATCACCCTGTGCTCCTCATTTTCCTGACAACCTTCAGGATCCTGCCTAGCCAACCGTACTGGTGGCAGGACTGCACGGGAGATCTGTGCCGGTAGCGCTGCAAAAAAAGGGTGCTGCTTCCCATAATAAATTTCTGTTAGCATCAAATCCTTTTTTTTCTTTTTTTTTTTTTTCAGAGTCGGTCTCAAGCAAGCTTTTTATAAGCAGTGCAGGTTAACCCCAAATCTCATCTTTCACAATTCACGAGCATGTCATCTCTTCCATTTTCAAAGACAAATGATTTCACGTGCGCGGAGGTACAGTCACAGGCCAGGTCACATTACAAAGTTAAACCCCCATATATTTGTACTGGGGTATCAGGACTGCCCGATAAATTCAGCCACTTTATCTTCATTATAGCATTTGCAGGTGCAGGTCCACGCATGGATCATGAGAACCAAAAACCTCGCAGATGCTGGAGCATAACAAGCGCACTGAAAAATGGAGTCAGGGAGGCCGAGGGCAGCTTTTGCGGGCTGGTGAGCGAGCGAGCCGTAACTGCACCGTCACATTACAACGCAGATATTTAACAGCTCGATGCACTCCAGCAGCAGCTTTTGATGAGGTCAGTTTTGGCTCAAGTCACTAAATAATTTAAATCTTTACTGCTGAAATCCACTATAAATGAGATTTTAAAAACTTGGGTAAGCTTTTATTTAAGGGAGTCTAAAAAGCTCTTAAAGCAGTGCTGTCTAAGCACTGTTTTTTTCTCGCCAGCACTGGCTGCTCTGCAGGTATTTCTTGCAGCGTGTAGGTATCCCGCGGACAGGGACGTCATGCAGCTTTGGAAATACCTCTTACAAAAGCCTTTTTAAAGCATGAAATGCATTGGTTCGTTTTCTTAGTAATTAGGCCCACTGTTTCTAGGAACACTTTTTCAAGTTTTGAAATAAAATGATTTCCCTGCATCCTCCAGTTTCCCTCTCCCGGGATAACGGGCTCACACCAGCAATCCATCTGCTCCCGGGATTGTTCCAGCTGCCAGGAGCAGCAGAAGCATCCCGGGAAGCGCTGTGCTCACACTCCCATTTTTCTCAACATCTGTGCCATCTAGTTTGCAGGCATCTGACACAGTATGCACCCGCTTACCTATAGCTCCCTGTATAATCTGTAGAACGCGACGGTTGTCTCCTCGGGGCAATTCAGTCCCTTTGATATGTGCATCATGCTCGAGGACTGCCTCTCTCTGCCCCGGTACGCAGGAGAGCTAAGGGGGCTGCACTCCTCTTTGGGGTGCTCTCTCAGGGGACTCACATTAAATGGGCTAAATCCGAGCCCTGGAGGCTGGCTTCAGCCTGGAAGCACACCTTTCAGCTCTCCTTCAAGTAAATAGGAGTTTTCCCGCTTGATGTGATAGAGACAAGTTTGCATCTCTGTGAGTACTTCTATTACGCATATGAATTGTATAAGATGTTTTGTGAATAGCAACATTAAAAGGACGTTTGGCAGTTACGGTGATGGGTTAATTATGGAGACAGTGTTTTCCCCCAGCACGTGTACGTTTGCTGTCTTCTATGCTTCATTCGTTGCCCACTAGCTCTTGTACTGTGAAAAAAATACAAATGGGAATCCCAGCTGCCTTCCATTACAACGTTTTATGTGCTACTGTCTGAGTTACGCCTTCTGGGATTCTCAAGGATCACGAACATATGAATGTATGTAAATGGTTCTGTAACATCTTTAGTTAAGGCACAAAATATTTAATTCAGGTTTCATTAATCTGGTATGTGTGATGGAAAGAATTCGTGTTATTTGTTTTATGGAAGGGCTTGGTGCCTGAGCTGAGGTCTCAGTTGTGCTTTGCTTGAGACAAGTTTATATTCATTTTCATAGGCAATTAACTTTCAAGCAACATGTGTAAGAAAAATAGAAAATATTTAGGCTTTACAGGCCTTCCACTAGTGGTCTACATGCTACCCAGCTTTGTATACTCCAGTGCCAATATATATAAAGCATTTCGATCTATGCTGAATTTTAAGCACAGCAACAGACCAAATGAGTGGTTTGGGTTTTTTTTTCATGAATGAAACCATGACTGTAAAATTGTCAGGATGATGTGGAGAAATCATGGGGGAAACAGGAAAAAAGTATAAAAAAGACATATTCCCTTGGCTCTCTTAGGCTATGGGACTTAGGATATTTCCCTTCCTACAGAAAAAGAAAAAAAAAGCCTCATGTAAAATCCAGATAACATTTGAAAATTAAAAAATATAAACCAACAGGAATGACAGAGGCAGCTGCTGGAAGGGCTTACTGTGCTGGATAGAGATTAGAGGATTTATTTCTAATTCAACAACAGTACAATTTAAAGTCAGAAGATAAGTGGTAAATATAACACCCTTGCTATAAATATTCTAAAAGAGAAAAACTCTGAACATGTCAAAAGCACAATGTTTAAGAAGTTGTTCATTAAATCCCCTATAGCTCAACAGCACTTTTTATTTATTCATTCTTCCTGCTTCTTTTAAACTTTAACATGAATTTATCATGATTTATTAGCACATTGATTAAAGGTGTTTGTTGCAGAACATCGTACTTTCACATATCTGCTAACAAAGAAATTTGCAAATATGTTTTGGAAGGAAAAGAAGAAAAAGAAGAAAATACTGCCCTACATGGTATAAAGCCACTGAAAACTTGGAACATTTTCCTATATCCGATGCCAACACCGTTTTAACAAGGCAGTAGGAACAAAGCCCCAAAACCCCTAGACCCACAACTGGCATCTTTTCCCCCCAAAAAGAGCGTCCCCACCTGCTTCTGCTGATCTGGGCAGTGCGCTGTGCCCCGGGGGTTGCTCCCAGAGCCGGCCCCATCAGCGGTACTCACTCGTGCGAGGGGACACCGTTGGCGACGACGCCTTCGTAGCGGCTGATGCCCTTCTGCTGGGTGACGCTGATCTGACCGCCCAGCTCGTCTGCGATAACGCCTGCATGTATCGCCGACTTGCACAGCAGCGAGGTCTGAAAGGCAGAAGCCGTCAGAAGCCAAAGCTTAGAGGATCAATCTGACAAACTTCCAAGCCACTAGTACACAGGTGTTACAGCTCATAAAATCTGGCAAAGGCTCAAGAGGAATAAGAGGCAGAGGAGGGAGAAAGAACAGTAATCGTTGAAAAAAATACGTTTCCAAAAGTCATCTTTTTTTTTCAAATGAAAAAGCAAATAATCTGCTTCTGAGAAGGTGCTGTAAGATTTTAACCTAATAACTATTGTGTCACTCCTCGGGAAAACAAAGTCAAAGGCACGGCAACTCTTTTTTGCAAAGAGAAAATGGTAATTACTCGATGGACTTGCCTGAAGGCAGACCTATTACTGCGCCTTAGGATTTGAGTCATGGCATACATTAGGGGATTTGGCTATGTGTTGACTAGCTGCTGCTGGGTTTTAAGTATAGCCCATTTGCCAGTATCTCAGGTGGGATAACGCTGAAAAATACAGGCAAGACAACTTGTGTGCCGACTAGGTGGCAATAACGTACCACTGGGCTAGGTCAGAGCAGAGAAGGGCCGGTGGAAAGGTGCAAAGGAGATATTCCCAGGGGCCGCTGGCAGAGATTGGTCTCGTTCACACCTGCCCGGCTTGGGCTAGCTGGGGTGCCGGGCTGTCCCCTCCAGGGAGGGGTGGGGACACAAAGGCAGCAGGGCTCCAGGGGAGCCCCGCAGGTCCTTCCCATCAGAAAAGCTGAATCCCCCTTAACGGTGGAGGGAAAATTTATTTCAAAAATTCCTCGGCGCAGATAAGATCTGCATGAGGTCATGCCATGTTCTGCTTTTCTTTCCTAATCAATCACCCAAACTAAGGGCAGGAATAACTTCAGTTAATGAGAATGAAACGTGGCATTTCTTTGTTTCTTCAGCTCTGCCACCTTCCAGGCTGGAGCCGTGTGCTCGAATAACTGGATGAACAGGTTAAACGTGAACACTGAGTTTTTGGAAACTCAGCAACTGCTGTATTTGTGACAGGGTGGGATTTCACTTCAGTGGTATGATTAAACTTACTGCACTGTGAGAGACGTAAAGATTTCACCGACATGATGGGAGGAGAGTCCAGGGTGAGGGGCACAGAGAGGGCAGAGCACTGTGTGATATGAACTGTGGATATATGCAACCACTCAGGCAACTTCTTCGCTTTAAAGAACGAGCAGTTAAAACAACTCCAGAGGTTGGTAGTTATCAGTGGGATGTGATTAGGCAGTGTATAATATTTATTTCATCTCAGAGCAGATTGCTGGGATATTGCAGGCATAATCTTAAAAAATCCCCGCATGTTACTGAAATGTATTTTTTTTCCTACAAGAGATAACTTTAGAAAAGAAACGGACATGGACCCCAAACAAGTAAAAGCTGAAGTTGCAGGAATATTTAGTACACGGATGAGCACTGCCTCAAGAGGGACAAACCCTATGCAGGGTTTTTCCAGAAAGCCAGAAACGACAAGTCAGTAGGTGTATTTGACAATCAGTGGACTTTGTTCTCACACAATTGATTTGTCTGTTTGAAAAGTGTCTCCATGTGCTTATATACTGATAACATACTCACATACTGATAATAAAAGGTATATCTAACACAGCTGGGAAGAATTACTGACAAAAGTCAAGCAGCAGAAGTTGAAACCAAGTTGTGCTATGCTTCTCTCTTCTGTCTTTATAAATTTCCCCTCGTTTTCCTGTGTACTTACATCTCTGTATCCTTCTCCGATATTCCCAGAAATGTCACCTGCTATGTCTCTGCAGCCAGCAGGACAGTATCTGCTGTAGTGAGAGAAGAGAGGCATGTTTAAAACATGAACTGTAGTGACAATACACAGAAACAAACTTGTGCAAAAGAAATGCTCTCAAACCAATAAATATTTTAACAGTAAGTTCTGGCTGATGGATTGTTAGTCTAGGAGGTAAACAGATGGGCCCTTGAATTCATGAGTGGACTGCACACAGCAGCACACAAAGAACCGGAAAAGCAGTTTTGCAAGGGCATTTCTGTTTAATTCTCTTGTTCTAGAAATGCTACCACAGGAGTTCTCAGCACAGCCCCGATAAGAAGCCTACATGCACATCCAGACAGCAGCCAGAAGAGCACAATTTATTACCATTTCAAATCCTATCGCAAGGTTCAAGGAACCAAGAAATTATAGCTTGTCCTCAGATAATCTTCTATCAGCTGGGATGTGATCTGCTCTCAGGAGAACCACTGGAATTCGAGGCTACTTTGAATTTCAAAGTGGAAACTCTTTTTACATATACCATGTATATGTATGCCCAAATGAGACCGGCTCTGTAACTCTTTTCACTGGGCCGCAGACTTCCATTCTGCACTACTGCTTCTCACAACTGGGCCTTGGACTACTACAGCATCGGAGCTCAAAAAAATTCACTTCTCCAGAAAACCAAGACCGTACCTGCCTTGTATGACATTTTCTAACAATTGGACCAGATGACAGCTACAGCAAAGCAAGCCACAGCGCAGAGAGCTGCAAACCCTCTTTACCTGTATTCAGCCTTTGTGTAGTGGTTCGCTCGTTCCAAACATGTTATTAGATCTGTGAAAAATTTACAAATGTCAATCCCCATTGCAGGATGTAGAAATACAAATATTTGGCTACACATCAAATTACATTTAAAGATATCTCTGTATAATACTTAAACAACTTTATTAGATAGAAGGCAACAGCTATGGTTTTCCCTCATTCTTTTCATCTCCCTCTTCTACTCTTCCTATGTTTTACACCTTCAACAAAGTTGCACAGACCCCCAGAGTATTAAATGTAGGAATCAAATCTTAATCTCCCCTATCCCTTCATCCTGTCACTGTGTGGTAGATGCTGGAGCCCAGAATACAGTGGAGCTTCGAGGAGATGGTACTAATTTTCTCTTTCACTGGGCCTGTATTGCAAATTACCTAGGTAGGATTTCAGCAGCTATTATATTTGGTTAATATTACAGCTGCTTCTTGCTCACATGCTATCATGGTTCATGCTAATCCAGAAATATTTAGGACCAAACATTTGGGCTAAAGTCCATGTGTGCAGAGAAGATAATGAAATAGGGGGGGCTATGCCACTAATCCTTTAGAAATAGTGCTTTTGGATTTCACTTTACCTGGATGATCACTACTGGCATAGGACAACAGAAAGCCTCGTCCTGACACGTGGGATCCACTCTCAAAGTGAATAGTCGCTTCATTGCTATCCAGAATGATTTCTTTGGGGATGGGCATCACATTGCCACAGTATGGCCCTGCGGAAGAACAAAGAAGATTTCAAAAGTTTAGATGACATAATTAGACTGGAATATTCCCACGATTAGCAAAGTTTCATAACACGCTCATTCTCCTTCAGTACCAATCCCAATGTTGACAAAAGGGTTTTGGCTTCAGTCCTTTATGGGTACGAGCTCCCAAGTTACCCTGACAAGGAGTGGCTGGGATCCGATTGTCTCTCCATGGCAGCAATTCCAGCATCCACGTCTCTCATCACATAAGCCTTAGGAGAATGATTAATGCCCTTCGGCCTTTGAAGTGCAGCATGCTTACAACCAGCAGTAACTCATTAGAGAAAAGAACAGAACATTCAAAGGCAACCCAAGGGATCTACACAGGGTCCCCTAGATAAACTCTCCAGATGCGTACAGCTCATGCTGCTGTAGCACAGCAGCCATTCAGGAAAGATTAAGACCACAAACAGGGTACCTGCTTTTCAAGGACCCGTGTGCCACAAGCCAAATTGTACTACGAGGCAGTACCACTTTACTCAGAAAATGTCTTCATTTATTTTCCTTTAAAAAACATCATCAGGCCATTGAAGTATGCAGTTCAAACCTCCAGAGTTTTAAACAAAAAAGAAAGGGAGAGAAAGGGGAAGATGAAGGGAGTGGGACAGGGAGGCAAGAGCCTTGTGCTTACATTGAATTAGATAAGGGTTTTATAGGTACCAACTGCAGTATCTTGGAACAGTCTTTGGGACACTCCTTTCTTGCGACAGCAGGCGTGCCCGGGACTCTTAATAATTACATTTGCTTCTTTAGAAGTCAGTTCCCGAGGGGAGCTTTCTTTCGAGATTGCCACAGTCTTTGCTCTTGCCTTCTGTCACCAGACCTGGGTGCAAACACTTGCCCCTGGCTGCCCTCAGGCGCAGATGACACAGAAAATCCAAAGCGGTTTGGGTACACTTTTTTGAATTTATGAGGATGCTTACAACATAAACTGCTAAGAAGAGGTTTTTGTAAAATGGCAAACGTGGTGGTTTTTTTTTTTCCCCAAGAGAAAAAACAAACAAGACCCTTTACAAGCCCTCAGCCTGTCTGTTCTGGTGAATGACAGCTTTGGATCCTAAAGCAAGTCCTTGGGAGGAAAAAGGATCGCTTTGATTTTTCCTAGACAACCTCATTTTATTGATGGTGGCTACTTTAGGGCAACTTGGAACTGACTTCTGAGAAATCACAGCACAAATCTGATGAGTGGCACCCTTCCTAACGGGCTCCTAAGAGCCTCTTCTTTTTGCTTGATACTCTTGGGAGGGTTTTTCCCAAATACTTCACCGGCCTTATAACAACTATAAAACCAGCCTATAGAGTAGCCCAATTGGAGCCAATGACAGCCAGTTGTCAGCAGAATGGGACAAACCAAAGGAGGAACTCTGTCTTTTGGCTTATAAAAAATCATACGGCGAAGCAAGGCGGGCAGAGAAAAAAGCGACAAGTGTGACATTTCCCTGGAGTACTCATGTGTTGAAAATGACTCACGACTTAGTCAGAGAAAACAATGTCTATAAAAAGGGTTAAACAAATTGCTTAGGAAATGAACTTATCAAAAAGACAGCATCTGACACTGTGTCATACCAGACAACTGCACGAGTGATTTATTTGAGGTCTTTTGTGTCAGATTGCAGTGGGAGAAGTAAAGTGCTAACTTAGATATTTTTTTTTCCCAGCGAGAAAGAAAGGGGAAGAAGACAGGGAGGCATTGCATTTCTTCAGAATAAAACACCTGAGAAAACTTTAGTCCTTTTCATCTCTCAAGGACTGTCTCTACATATTTTCTCACAAGTGCTCTTTGGCTTTCTCCCTCACAGCGATTGGCAGTGACCTATCTACTCTGCAGGTATAATTTAGATGGCTGATTCACTCAACCACACACCAGCTGGATCAGGGTTATGTGTCTCCTCCAGTAGCATGTCTACATACGTTCCAGGTAATTATACAAACAAATCACACATGTAATAAGCAAAAACAATAAAATAAAATAAAATAAAATAAATAAAATAAAATAAAATAAAAATGTCTAGACACATAGAGTTGTATAATCCAAACGAAAGCCAATAATTCAGAAACAATCAGCTTAAGAAATCAGCATGCAATGCCTAAAGACAAGTTTCTACTCTTAAGTAATAAATCCAAGAAGGGTTACCAGGCTATGGTTATCTTCTGCCAAGAGCAGTTGCGGTGTACTGAGAGACTCCCATAGGTAGCTCAAAACTAAGGGTGCCTAGGATTTATTCCTTAAAGCATATAGAAGCAAGAAACAGTATCCACTGAAGGAAGGAATTATTTCCAAAAGTTTATCAGTTTTCTGCATAGGTTTGGGGGGAAAAAAAAAAAAAAAGAGGCATCTATTAATACTACAAAACATTCACTTGTTCTTTTGCTGCAAACTGAGGAAGCCATATTTCAGCAGGTTTCTTCTCAATAATTCAGGTAATACCGTATCAGCACGACGCTGCCAGGTCTTCAGACTTGCGTGAGATCTAGCAGTTTATTTCTGTGCTGTCAAATACAGAAATGAGCACTGAGAGGTAGAGTTTAGAAAAAAGTGTAAGCGTTACCTCACCCCTCTCTTGCTGTTCTTAGAAAAACCCATCAGATACCGGCTTGGCTTAGAGGTTCTTTTCTACCTGAAAGAACTAGAGACATGTGCAGCCTATTTTTAGGGAAAGGTGTTATTCCACTCTTTTCAGTGCTTACTGTGTTTAAAATGACCAGTGTAAGCACCTTTCTAATTTGATTTAGCCAATAATATTGTTTTAGGTTTAGCAGCACCTCTCTCCATTTTGCCAAGTTTTTGCAGAGTGGCCTTTTTAACCTCGAATTCTCATTTCCTCCCTAATCAATTTATTTCACATTGACAGTTTTCCAAGAAATTCCCCAGGGGGACAACTAGTAATGCTTAGAAAATAAAACTGATTCAGGGTCAAGACAATTATTTGGGTTCGGTTTTGACTGATGAGAAAATTTTATGCTTTCATCTGTTTTCTAACATTCTTTAGAAAAATAATGTCTTTGTTTTTAACCACACACTCTTTCCTATGCACTCCCATACAGCAGTCCTCCGTTTACTTTAATGTTGTAAAGCCAGAAGCGAAGGGATAGTCTCCCAGGGTCCCTGCATTTCAGCTTGTAGTATGCCTGAATTAGACGCACTTTTTATATACACAGTAACACCCAGCAGATTTGCTCTCCATTGACTTACCTATTACCTTGAATACGTATATGGTGAGATTTTATAGACGTTAGAAGATTAAAACCAATCAGCGTCTGTAGACTTTAGACTTCATCTGAAAACTATATTTACTAGTCAGTATTTTCCACGTGCAATTGAGGTGACAATACTACTTTATTGTCTACTATTAAAACTCATATGTGCTCCCTGTCTTGTCTGTCCATTCCACCTAGGATTTATTGATTTCCCCAGGCTGTCTATATGAATACTGTAGAACCATAGCGGAGAGGAGGGATGATGGAGGAAGCCTTGGTTTGTGTCTGGAATGAAAGGGAGAAACTTGTTTATAGGGCCCTGTTAACTTTTACTGCAGCATTTGGACTTGACTCTGGATAAATATTTAATTCCTAAACCTGGGACTAAGCCAAAAGTTTTTTAAGATCCCTTTTGAGAACTGCCAGATCACATTATCAGTTTTTCATCTTCTAATGTTAGTTGTGAGGTGGGTTGTTTTGCATATTCGGCTTGAAAAATGAGTCATGAACGCTGATCTCTCTCCCTGTTTCCTGTTGAAGTGAGTCGGCTGGAGCTCTGCTAGGGTAAGTAGGCAGGATTATTTGGTTTGTTTACTAAGAACAAAGAAAAGAGTTCGATTTAATAAACAGATGTGTTACATGTCATGAAACTGAGTAGGTGTTCTCCACATTTCAGTATTACTACATCTAGATGCCGGGGCCTTTTCTTCTTTCCTTGTCTCATTAATGAGTTGACCCAACTGTGGTTCTGTCTGTTCATGCCAGATTCTTTTTTTTTGCATATATACATACACTTAAAATTCTGCAGGAGAGCTATTACGGGCCTAGGGATTTTGAATGTACCTAATTTAATATTCTCTATAATTAAACTAACATTTAATGCCTTTCATCCAGAATTCCTGATCTGTTGGTATGGTTTAAGTGGCTTAAACGAAATACTTTTATTTTGGAATCACTGTCTCCAAGCAGTATTAACATCCTGCAAGATACACGGTAAATTGTCTCGTGGATATCCTTTGGCTGGCTCGCCTGGAGACTGAAGAGATTATTTTACGTGTTGTTTATTTTTTAAATGTTAGCAATAGTCCGCTGCTTTTGTCTTTTTCATAATAGTGTTGTTTTGCAAATCTGATGATCTTTACAGCATTGTCTGGTTTTATGAAGTCTAGTTTACTTCTACTGTCAACCAGGCTCTGGCATATTTCCTGAAATTGCTTTATTGAATTATGTTCCTTCATTTTTTCTACTTCCCTTAAGAAGCGCTGTGCCTAGAGGACTCTGCTCTCACACCAGCTGGCAATGCCTACATGCCGTTTGTTTCTGTAGTTCTTAATACTTTCTGCCTCTTCTCTAAGACTTCTGCTTCTTTTTAAAAGCAATTCTGTCCCTCTTTAGCTGTTGCATGTCCGGTTCATTCTGCTTGTTCTGCTGTCAAATTCCTCAATGTCATTTGAAATCTGGAGTTTGACACCTGCAGAGGTCTTTAAGGAACTCAGTTTAGGTATCAATTCGTAATGCGCCCTCTTCAACAGGGAATCTTCAAGATTCTGCAAGACATTAGTCTTGCAGAGTAAGGCATGGCTGACGAGCAATGTGTAGCAACGATCCCATGGATCTGCCGCTCCAGGATTATCATTTCCTAAGGAGTTTGTCTGAAGAAAACAATGTTTTAAATTGTGATCCTTATATTCAGTAGCCTTTTCTCAAATAAAGCAATTTGGAAGTACCTCAGTAGCTGGGGAAGGACAGGGGATATGATGAACATGGAT